GGAAAACTTTCGGAATTATGCTATTGCAAAGTTAGCGGTCTTGACGATGTTTATGCATTGGCAATTTCGCCCACTTTGAGCCCTATTATCGGTCAATTCCAATGTGCCAGTCGACAAAAATCATACCTATTTTGTTAGAACTCCATCTTGTCTATCGAATGAGTACAAGAAACCACCCATTTACCAGTTTCAACTAACGAACAACGTGGTCAGAAATTGGCAATTTTGTCAATTTCACACAAATTTCAAAAGATTCCAATTTCCAAATAGGGTCCAGAATAAATGAGACAGACATTCCTGGCACTAAAATAACACTTCCTCTGTTGATTACTCACGTCCCCAGGCCTCTGCTACATTTCCTTTGCTTTCCACTTTGAATTTTTATTCTCACAAAGAATAGAACATTTATGTTATGCAGACTACTGCATTCATGTAGAAATGGTATAAATAATATCAGCACACTTGTGAAAGAATATTAGACTCGCCAGTTGTTGTGTATTGGATGCGTGGCATGATTTGTTTACCTTTGAACTTTGGCAAAAATCAAACATTTCTGCTACTTTGAGCTCAATTTCAAGATACTTTTCATTGTGAAACCAATCAAAATCATCTCAATTTCCATAATATGTCTTCCATTCTATAAAATGAGACCAGGGAAACTAGAATACAACCATAAATAGCACACAAAAATACACTGCAAAGTCGCTGTTTTAAACCAAAAACATGGAGTTTTTTTTTTTCTCATTTTGCACAGTTTGCTGCAGGATTTTTTTTATACTGTGCATACTGACCACATAGACCCATTCTTTCATATGTAGGCCTACCAGCTTTCTCTTGCTAGATTTGAAGGCACTAGAATTTATGCGTACTAGTACGGCATCAACCCTGAAAGGGTTAATGCACCTGAGAGTGATTATTATTGTGTATTATTATTATCATTATTAATATGGCGTCCTGAAGACTAATAAGACACTCTTAGTGATTTTAATGATTTTCATACTGTTTTGAATTTCGGCCATTTTGTATTTAGGCTGACCTTCTGGAACAGATTACGGCTGAAAAACGAGGTTCCACTGTATATATATACACACCCCTCTGGGGTGTGTGTATATATACCCAGAAGGGTTTTCTTCTATTTTCTTACTATTTCTTGTTCTTGTTTATTTCTTATCTCCATGGAAAAATGGAACAGAATTCTTCCTCCATCAGCCATGTTTGTCGTAAGAGATGACTAAAAGCCAGAAGCAAGGGGCTAGTAATCCATTCTGTATACATTACTAATTTTAAAAAAGAGAAACTGCTTTTTTCAGTTTAGGTCACCCTGCCTCGGTGGGATATGGCCGGTTTGTTGAGAAAATAAAAGCAGGTGAGGATATAGCTTTGGAGTGGTTGGTTCTTTTGTTCATTAAATGTATTGAAGGGGAAAAGGTACCTAAGGACTGGCAGAGAGCATGCACAGTTCCTTTACATTAAGGGAAGGAGGACAAAAGAGAGTAAAAATTATATGGGAATAAGCCTACTGAGTATTCCAGGTAAAATGTATGGTAGGGTTATTAACCCTTTGACTGTTTTGGTTGTATATATACATCTTACGAGCCACCATTTTTGACTTACACGTATATACTCATAAATTCTTGCGGCTTCAAGTCAAGCAGGAGAAAGCTGGTAGGCCCACATGTGAGAGAATGGGTCTGTGTGGTCAGTGTGTACCATATAAAAAAAATCCTGCATAACGCAGTGCATAAAAAAAATGGTCAGAGTTTTTTTTTTTCTAATTAAAATGCCGAATTTGTGGTCTATTTTCGTATAGTATTTATGGTTGTATTCTCGTTTTCTTGGTCTCATTTGATAGAATGGAAACCATGTTGTAGAAATAGAGGTGATTTTGATTGGTTTTACTATGAAAAGAACCTTGAAATGGAGCTCAAAGTAGGGGAAATGTTTGATTTTTGCTGATGTTCATAAGTAAACAAATGATGTCATTTTCCAATAAATGTCCAAGTAGCCATTCTAATATGCAGTCATGAATGGGTTGACATTATTTATACAATTATTACAATATTGCAGTATTCTGCATAACAGTAAATCTTCTATTTATTTTTGAATAAAAATTCAATATAGAAAGCAAGAGTAATATCAGAGGGGCCTGGAGACATGACTGATGAACAAAGAAAATGTTATTTTAGAGCTAGGAATGTCTGCATTGTTCATTCTGGACCCTATTTTGAAATTGTCATTTTTTTAATTTTTGTGAAATTGGCCAAATTGCCAATTTCTGACCACTTTATTGGGTGGTTGAAATTGGTAAATGGGCAGTTTCTTGTACTCAATTGATAGAAAAAATGGAATTCTAAAGAAATAGCTATGAGTTTGGTCGACTGGAACAATGGAATTAGCAGAAAATAGGGCTAAAAGTGGGCGAAATTGCCGATTTGTAAATATCACCGAGGTTCCTAATTTCGCAAGAGAGTAATTCCATCAGTTTTTCGTTAAATTTCGTTCTTTTGGTGTCATTACATTTGGGCAAAGATTATCATTTCATAAGAAATTTTTTTTTTTTTTTTTTTGGAAATTTTGCGACACCAGGAGACACCTCAGGATTTGGGGTTGCGAGTCAAGGGGTTAATGAAAGAATTAAGGGCAAGACAGAGAGGAGGATTGCAGATGAACAGGGAGGCTTAAGAAAAGGTAGGGAATGTGTAGACCAAGTGTTTATATTAACCCTTTCAGGGTCCAGAGGCCAAATTTCAAAGTGTGCACCAGGGTCCAAGAATTTTCAAAAAATAATTTTGTTATTTTTTCTTATGAAATGGATGAGAATCTTTTTCTGAAGGTAATAAAACAAAAAGTACGAAATTTGATGGAAAATTGACGAAATTATGCTCTCGCGAATTTTGATGTGTCAGCAATATTTACGCATTGGCAATTTTGCCAACTTTGACTCCCATTTTAGGCCAATTACATTATTCCAGTCGACCAAATTCTTAGCTATTTCACTAGTATTCCTTCTATTCTGTCGACTGAGCACAAGATATCACCAAGTCAATTGTTTTAACTACAAAATAAAGTGATTGGAAATTGGTAATTTAGCCAATTTAATGCAAAGTTCAAAATATTCCAATTTCATAATAGGGTCCAGAATAAACAATACAGGCATTCCTGGCACTAAACTAACATTTCCTCTGTTCATTAGTTATGTTTTCAGGCTTTACAAATGAATTCCATTTTTATTTTTTATTCACATAATGAATTTTTATTTAAACCAAAAAAATAGAAGATTTAACATTTCTGCTACTTTGAGCTCAGTTTCAAGACATTTTCAGTACTAAAAACCAATCAAAATCATCTATACTTCTGTAATATATCTTCCATTCTATCAGATGAGACCAAGAAATCGCAAATACAACTATAAAAATATACGAAAAAACACTGCAAGGTCGCTGTTTTAATCGAAAATTATGGTCTCGGTTTTTTCTCTCATTATGCACTGTGTGCTGCAGGATTTGTTTTATGTGGTGCACACATACCACATAGATGTATTCTCTCGTATCTAGGCCCAAATTTACCACTCACAGCTTATCAGAGTGAGCTGAGCTCATGGCGTAGACTTTCGGTTTTGACCCGCAACGTAAAGCCGTAGATCTACAGCACGGACCCTGAAAGGGTTAACACACATAAGCAAACAGTATTTAGATAGAGGTAGGAAAGTTATCATTGCTTTTATTGTTTTAGAAAAGGCATATGATAGGGTGGATAGGGGGAGCAATGTCTTAGATGTTGCAAGTGTATGGAATAGATTGTAAGTTAGTAAATGTTTTAAAGAGTTTTTATGAGGGCAGTGAGGCTCAGAGAGAGGAAGATTACTTTCCAGTAAAAGTAGGTCTTAGACAGGGATGCATGATATCACCATGGTTGTTTAATATATTTATAGATGGGATTGTAAAAGTAGTGTTTGTTCGGGTGTTGGAGAGAGGGACGGGATTAAAATATATGGATTCTAATTCAAAATGGGAGTTGACATAGTTACTTTTTGCTGATGATACTATGATTTTGAGAGATTCTGAAGAGAAGTTGGAAAGGTTAGCGGATGAGTTTGGGAGGGTGTGTAAAGGAAGGAAATTGAAAGTGAACATAGATAAGAGTAAGCTGATGAGGGTATCAAACTGTGAAGTGAACAAAGATAAAAAGGTGGGTGATGCATTGAGGAATCTGCTGGGACAAAGAACTTTATGGAAGCAAGAAAGGTAAATGAATTAGAGAATAGTGGTACCAACATTGTTTTTATGGGTGTGAATCTCAGGCTTTGAAAGTTGCAGCGAGGAAGTAGTTGGGGGCAGTAGAGATATCGTGTTTGAGGGCAGTAAGTGGTGTAAATATTATTCAGAGAATTCAGAATTTGAAGATTAGGAAGAGGTGTGGAGGGCCGAGGAGGGGTTATCAGGGTGGTTTGGACATTTAGAGAGGATAAAGAAAAGTAGGATAACTAGAAGAGTGAATAAATCTTGGGTGGAGAGAAGGGGTAAGAGTCATCCTAGGGAAGATTGGAGAAGAGGGGGTAAAGGAGGTCTTGAGTATTAAGAGAGATGTACATGCAGCAAGCTTGTATGAGTGTGTTAGACAGGAGAAACTGGAGGCAAGTGGTTTTTATGTCTGACATGCTGTTGGAGTGTGAGCAAGGTAATATTTATGGAGGGATTCAGGAAAACCATTAGCTAGACTTGAATCCTGGAGGTAGGAAGTACAGTGCCTGCACTCTGAAGGTGTGGTGGGGATGTTGTGGTTTCGAGGGCTATCTGAACTGTGATGCTGGAGCACTTCTAGCAAGACAGAGATTGACTGAGTGTCAGTGAAAGTGTTTTCTTCTTTATTGGGTCGCCCTTCCTTGATGGGAGACAGTTGGAGTGTTAAAAAAATTATTTGTATTAACCCAGCTCCTAGAAATGTTGTCATGAATGTTACAAAATATTTTGCTATCAATACTGACATTACTTTCTAAACAGGAATACAAGAATCCATATGATTTTGGACCATCAGAGAATTGGAAACTCTTTCTTGGTTTAACGCATGGCAGGTAAGTTTTTTTTTTTTTTTTGTATGTTATGAGTTTTCTCAATTTTTATCAGTTTTATGCCAGTAATGTCCGTACCATTTACCACCTGTAAATTAGAGCATATTTACTTTCATCCTAGGTAGTAGGTTGATAGCAACCACCCAGGGAGGTACTACTATCCTACCAAGTGAGTGTAAAACAGAAGCCTTTAATTGTTTTACATGATGGTAGGATTGCTGGTGTCTTTTTTTCTGTCTCATAAACAAGCAAGATTTCAGGTATGTCTTGCTACTTCTAATTACACTTAGGTCACACTACACATGCATTTACAAGCATATATATATACACACACTCCTCTGTATTTTCTTACTATTTCTTGTTCTTGTTTATTTCCTCTTATCTCCATGAGGAAGTGGAACAGAATTCTTCCTCTTTAAGTCATGCATGTCGTTAGAGGCGACTAACATGCCAGAAGCAAGGGACTAGTAACTCCTTTTCCTGTATACATTACTAAAGTTTTCTCCATGGGGAAGTGGAACAAAATTCTTTCTCCGTAAGCCATGCATGTTGTAAGAGGCGACTAAAATGCCGGGAGCAAGAGGCTAGTAACCCCTTCTCCCATATAAATTACTAAATTTAAAAGAGAAACTTTCGTTTTTCTTTTTGGGCCACCCCGCCTTGGTGGGATACGGCCGGTGTGTTGAAAGAAAGATTACTAAAGTTAAAAAGAGAAACTTTTTTTTTTCATGTCATCCTGCCTCGGTGGGATATGTCCGGTTTGTTGAAAGATGATGATGATTTACTTTCATTTGCAATATGCATCACAAATATGTGAGAGACAACTCATTTAGACTGAATCAAGTTACTGTATGAATGTTTCACTAAGTGTGGCACAATGGCATATTCTGAGGTCCTTGTGCTTTATCTGTCTGCTAGTGGTTACATCAGTGATTATATATACAGTGACAGTGACTTGTTGTTCTCTAGGTCCTATAAATGTTGCATTGGACATGAAGTAGTAACCTGTGCCAATAATTAAAATTTTACTTTTGGCTTTATTAAATTGTATATTTTGGCAAAACAGTAGTCACCAAGTGGTGTTGATTCTAATCAGTATTACTATTATATAACTTAATATTTGTATAATTGTGTAGTTTTTCTCTTTACCATTCGAGCAGAGGATGGAGACACATTCTTCTTCCATCGTGGCACTTACCTGATGGAAATGGATTAACTTGGCCCAATGCTATCATCACTGCTGCAAGTCACGACAAAGCTGCATGACAGACACCTTATTTGTTCTTTTAAATTAGAATGTTAATTATTACATATATCTTTTAGCCACAAGACTTTCATACATTCCAGGAACCAATGCCAGTATTTTTACCAGAAGACTGTCTTACATTTCCAGAAAATGGTGCTGTATTTATCATTTTATAGCATCTGCTTTAATCAATTTCTTCCAATTAGATACAGAGAAAACAAAGCTTCCTCTGTTTTTTTTTTAAATCAAATTTCACTAGTGAACTTGTAGAAATAATTAGTGATGTATTAATTTTATAAATGATGAAAGAGAAGAGGTAGCGACATACAGTAACACAGATACATGCTGAGAGAATGGAGCCCCCTCATGGGAGGTGTTCCTTGATGCTAATAAGGGGCTCTTGATCCAAGGAATTGAACCTGACCCTCCTTCCTCAGATTGAGCCTTATTGCTGCCCATTCCCTCAGACAGACACTGACTCCCTTTAGGTTAATTGTTGAAAATAAATGGTGTAAAATACCGACGCAATGGAAACATATGTGTTTATGTTTTCAGGTTAATTGTTTCCCCATGAGTGTAATAATAATGAGATTATTATTATTACCATCATAACTAAGCACTAAACCCACTATGGTCATACAGCACTGTAGGGTAGGGTGTATATTCCTGATCAGACACACACACAATAACAATGAGAGAATAGCTATAAATTAACCCTTTGACTGTTGCAGGCCCCTTTCTGAAACTGTCATTCTGTCGCAACATTTTTGAAAAAAAAAAAAAAAAATTCTTATGAAATGATAGAAAATCTTTTCCCGATGGTAATGACACCAAAAGCACAAAATTTGGTCGAAAACTCCCGGAATTATGCTCCCGCGAAGTTAGCGGTCTAGGCGACATATACACATCGGCGATTTCGCCAACTTTGAGCCTTGTTTTTGGCCAATTCCGTTGTTCCAGTTGACCAAACTCATAGCTATTTCTTTAGAACTCCATTTTTTTCTATCAACTGAGTACAAGAAACTGCCCATTTACCGATTTGAACTACTCAATAAAGTGGTCAGAAATTGGCAATTTGGCCAATATCATGCAAATTAAAAAAGATGCCAATTTCAAAATAGGGTCCAGAATAAACAATGTAGACATTCTTGGCACTAAAATAACATATCCTCTGTTCATTAGTCACGTCTCTAGGCCCCTCTTATATTACTGTTGCTTTCCATTTTGATCTTTTGTTCATACAAAAAATACAAAATTTACTGTTATGCAGACTACTGCATTATTGTAAAAATGGTATAAATAATATCAGTGCACTAGCAAAAGAATATTAGACTCCCCAGTTGACATGTATTGGACGTGTGGTGTGATTTGCTTACTCTTGAACATTGGTAAAAATCGAACATTTCTGCTACTTTGAGCTGAATTTCAAGGTCATTTTCATCGTGAAAGTAATCAAAATCATCTCTATTTCTGCAATATGTTTTACATTTTATCACCTGAGACCATGAAAATGAGAATACAACAATAAATACTATACGAAAATACACCTCAAAGTTGGCGTTTTAATCCAAAAAAAGTCCGTTTTTTTTTCTCATTATGCACTGCGTGCGGCAGGATTTTTTTTATGTGGTGCACACTGACCACACAGACCCATTCTCTCACATGAGGGCCTACCAGCTTTCTCCTGCTTGATTTGAAGCCGCTAGAATTATCGAGTATATATACTTCCGAAACACTGGCTCGTAAGACATATATATACGACCAAAACAGTCAAAGGGTTAAGTAGGCAAGTACTTATGAGTAACATATATCTTACCATATAAAAACTATAAAATTATTCAGCTTTTCAAAAAATTTTATGATCTGAATCTGTAGAAATGGTTCAAGGTTCTTAGTTTAATTTCCTTGCACTATCTTGCTATACACCAGGGTATCCCTCAAGGATGTAAGAAGACATTTTAATAGTGTATATTTTTGTTTTAGTAAAGACACTGATGCAGTCAACTAGTCATTGTTTTTTAGAGGAATAAACTTTTAGCAGACTTTGCCACATTTTAAAGATTTTTATCATCTTGAGATAAGCAGAAATAATATATTAATATATACTTTGTAAGTTTATTCAGATTTTGTAAAATGTCTGTAATGAACTGGCACATTCACAAGTGCAAATTCCATATAGATCATGCAACACTGTTCATCATGCAGGTACTTCGCTTTGTATTCAATAAATGTATGGCAGAATGAATATCTTATAATTGTAGGGTTTAGACATATTTAAGTAACGTTGCATTACTCGTTGCTAACTAATGATGTAATATTTTATAACATTAGTCAGTGTGGAAATATGTAATTTTTATTGTACATGATTTTTTGTCTAGTCTTTTTTAGCAATGGGGTTATAACATACACACAATGTGCATTAATTTATTAAGTTATAAATATTTAATATTTGCATGCAGGGAAATTTTAAAATCAAGTAAAAATTTCATATAAATCCAAATGGATTGATTTACACCTGATATATTAGGCATAGCAAGGGCCTAGTAACCCATTCACCTGTATAAAATACTAAATGTAAAAAGAAAAATTTTCATTTTTCTGTTTGGGCCACCCTGCTTTGGTGGGATATGACCAGTTTGTTGAAAAAAAAAAATATTAGGCATACAGTGAATGTTCTAAACTGGATTGAAACAAAATTTATTAGTGGGTAAAAATGTTGTGGAGAGAGTAGTAGGTAAATTTGGGGTGCCAGGGGTAAATATAAATGGGGAGCCTTTAATTGAGCCATGTGTAGAAAGAGATTTGGTAATAACTAATACATATTTTATGAAAAAGAGGATAAATAAATATACAAGGTATGATGTAGCACGTAATGAAAGTACACCTACCATCCGACTTACGACCGAGTTCGGTTCCGAGAAACCGGTCGTAAGTCGAAATGGTCGTAAGTCAAACTTTACTACTGAATATCAATGTAACATTTTTGTAATGACCTTATTTTATTGTTTTATTTTGGTATTTCTTGTTTTACTTTACTTTTTATGCTGTTAGTACTGTATTTTATGCTGTAAGGTTTAGGATAAACACTGTGTACAACACAAATAGTTGTTTATTTCCCAGAAATTTGGTATAAAAAACACGGTCGTAAGTCGAGTAGGTCGTAAGTCAGATGGTAGGTGTAGTTTGTTAGATTATGTATTGGTGGATAAAAGGTTAATGGGTAGGCTCCAGGATGTACATGTTTATAGAGGGGCAACTGATATATCGGATCATTATTTAGTTATAGCTACAGTTAGAGTAAGAGGTAGATGGGACAAGAGGAAGGTGGCAACAACAAGTAGGAGGGAAGTGAAAGTGTATAAACTAAGGGAGGAGGAAGTTCGGGTGAGATATAAGTGACTATTGGCAGAAAGGTGGGCTAGTGCAAAGATGAGTTGTGGGGGGAGGTTGAAGAGGGTTGGATGAGTTTTAAAAATGCAGTATTAGAATGTGGGGCAGAAGTTTGTGGTTATAGGAGGGTGGGGGGCAGGAGGAAAGAGGAGTGATTGGTGGAATGATGAAGTATAGGGTGTGATAAAAGAGAAAAAGGTAGCTTACGAGAGGTTTTTACAAAGCAAAAGTGTTATAAGTTATAAGAAGAGCAGAGTATATGGAGAGTAAAAGAAAGATGAAGAGAGTGGTGAGAGAGTGCAAAAGGAGAGCAGATGAAAGAGTGGGAGAGGCACTGTCAAGAAATTTTAATGAAAATAAGAAAAAATTTTGGATTGAGTTAAACAAGTTAAGAAAGCCTAGGGAACGTATGGATTTGTCAGTTAAAAACAGAGTAGGGGAGTTAGTAGATGGGGAGAGGGAGGTATTAGGTAGATGGCGAGAATATTTTGAGGAACTTTTAAATGTTGAGGAAGAAAGGGAGGCGGTAATTTCATGCACTGGCCAGGGAGGTATACCATCTTTTAGGAGTGAAGAAGAGCAGAATGTAAGTGTGGGGGAGGTACGTGAGGCATTACGGAGAATGAAAGGGGGTAAAGCAGCTGGAACTGATGGGATCATGACAGAAATGTTAAAAGCAGGAGGGGATATAGTGTTGGAGTGGTTGGTACTTTCTTTAATAAATGTATGAAAGAGGGGAAGGTACCTAGGGATTGGCAGAGAGCATGTATAGTCCCTTTATATAAAGGGAAGGGAGACAAAAGAGATTGTAAAAGTTATAGAGGAATAAGTTTATTGATGAAATATTGGATATCAGATTGGAGGGAGAGAGTATGGAGGAGGTGAATGTATTCAGATATTTGGGAGTGGACGTGTCATCGGATGGGTCTATGAAAGATGAGGTAAATCATAGAATTGATGAGGGGAAAAGGGTGAGTGGTGCACTTAGGAGTCTGTGGAGACAAAGAACTTTGTCCTTGGAGGCAAAGAGGGGAATGTATGAGAGTATAGTTTTACCAACGCTCTTATATGGGTGTGAAGCATGGGTGATGAATGTTGCAGCGAGGAGAAGGCTGAAGGCAGTGGAGATGCCATGTCTGAGGGCAATGTGTGGTGTGAATATAAGGAAGAGAATTCATAGTTTGGAAGTTAGGAGGAGGTGCGGGATTACCAAAACTGTTGTCCAGAGGGCTGAGGAAGGGTTATTGAGGTGGTTCGGACATGTAGAGAGAATGGAGCGAAACAGAATGACTTACAGAGTGTATCAGTCTGTAGTGGAAGGAAGGCGGGGTAGGGGTCAGCCTAGGAAAGGTTGGAGGGAGGGGGTAAAGGAGGTTTTGTGTGCGAGGGGCTTTGACTTCCAGCAGGCATGCGTGAGCGTGTTTGATAGGAGTGAATGGAGACAAATGGTTTTTAATACTTGACGTGCTGTTGGAGTGTGAGCAAAGTAACATTTATGAAGGGGTTCAGGGAAACCGGCAGGCCGGACTTGAGTCCTGGAGATGGGAAGTACAGTGCCTGCACTCTGAAGGATGGGTGTTAATGTTGCAGGTTAAAAACTGTAGTGTAAAGCACCCTTCTGGCAAGACAGTGATGGAGTGAATGATGGTGAAAGTTTTTCTTTTTCGGGCCACCCTGCGTTGGTGGGAATCGGCCAGTGTGATAATAAAAAAAAAAAGTTTATCGAGTATACCAGGAAAAGTGTACGGTAGAGTTATTATTGAAAGAATTAGAGGTAAGACAGAATGTAGGATTGTGGATGAGCAAGGAGGTTTCAGAGTGGGTAGGGGATGTGTAGATCAAGTGTTTACATTGAAGCATATATGTGAACAGTATTTAGATGAAGGTAGGGAAGTTTTTATTGCATTTATGGATTTAGAAAAGGCATATGATAGAGTGGATAGGAGAGCAATGTGGCAGATGTTGCAAGTATATAGAATAGGTGGTAAGTTACTAAATGCTGTAAAGAGTTTTTATGAGGATAGTGAGGCTCAGGTTAGGGTGTGTAGATGAGAGGGAGATTACTTCCCAGTAAAGGTAGGTCTTAGACAGGGATATGTAATGTCACCATGGTTGTTTAATATATTTATAGATGGGGTCATAAAAGAAGTAAATGCTTGGGTGTTCGGGAGAGGGGTGGGATTAAATTATGGGGAATCAAATACAAAATGGGAATTGACACAGTTACTTTTTGCTGATGATACTGTGCTCATGGGAGATTCTGAAGGAAAATTGCAAAGGTTAGTGGATGAGTTTGGGAGTGTGTGTAAAGGTAGAAAGTTGAAAGTGAACATAGAAAAGAGTAAGGTGATAAGGGTATCAAATGATTTAGATAAAGAAAAATTGGATATCAAATTGGAGAGGAGGAGTATGGAAGAAGTGAATGTTTTCAGATACTTGGGAGTTGACGTGTTGGCAGATGGATTTATGAAGGATGAGGTTAATCATAGAATTGATGAAGGAAAAAAGGTGAGTGGTGCATTGAGGTATATGTGGAGTCAAAAAACGTTATCTATGGAGGCAAAGAAGGGAATGTATGAAAGTATAGTAGTACCAACACTCTTACATGGGTGTGAAGCTTGGGTTGTGAATGGAGCAGCGAGGAGGCGGTTGGAGACAGTGGAGATGTCCTGTCTAAGGGCAATGTGTGGTGTAAATATTATGCAGAAAATTCGGAGTGTGGAAATTAGGAGAAGGTGTGGAGTTAATAAAAGTATTAATCAGAGGGCTGAAGAGGGGTTGTTGAGGTGGTTTGGTCATTTAGAGAGAATGGATCAAAGTAGAATGACATGGAGAGCATTTAAATCTGTAGGAGAAGGGGCTCTGTAGGGGCTCTGGTGGCCTGGTGGTTAACGCTCTCGCTTCACACGGTGAGGGCCTGGGTTCGATTCCCAGCCAGAGTAGAAACATTGGACGTGTTTCTTTCCACCTGTTGTCTATGTTCCCCATCAGTAAAATGGGTACCTGGGTGTTAGTCGACTGGTGTGGGTCGCATCCTGGGACACTGACCTAAGGAGGCCTGGTCACAGACCGGGCCGCGGGAGCGTTGACCCCCGGAACTCTCTCCAGGTAATCTCCAGGTAAGGAAGGCGGGGTAGGGGTCATCCTCGAAAAGGTTGGAAGGAAGGGGTGAGGGAGGTTTTGTGGGCAGGCGTGCATGAGCTTGTTCGATAGGAGTGAATGGAGACGAATGGTATTCGGGTAAACCGGTTATTTTATATAGCCGGACTTGAGTCCTGGAAATGGGAAGTACAATGCCTGCACTCTAAAGGAGGGATTTTGGGATATTAGCAGTTTGGAGGGATATGTTGTGTACCTTTATACGTATATGCTTCTAAACTGTTGTGCTCTGAGCACCTCTGCAAAAACAGTGATTATGTGTGTGTGAGGTGAAAGTGTTGAATGATGATGAAAGTATTTTCTTTTTGGGGATTTTCTTTCTTTTTGGGTCACCCTGCCTCAGTGGGAGATGGCCGACTTGTTGAAAAAAAAAAAATGTAAAAATGTTTTGGCTTAGGATGTATAACACAATATTTAGTTTATAAATTTTGTGCATGAGAGGAAGTTTGCCATTGTCTGCAGATACAGTATTTTAATAGAAGTCAACAGTGACTATTAGGTACAGTACTGACTCTACAATTGTACCTGTATTGATATAAAATGCTTGCTATTAGTGAAAATTGAAGACCAAAATATATGAGTGTTTTTTAGAGTGTAGTATGCATATATAGGCTGTGTTTTAGAAGATTTCAAGTAAGCTGTGTTTTAAATATGGGGGGAAAAAATAAGTGTCTTGTGATGGGCTTTGAGAGATTTTCTTCCCTAGTAACTGTGTGATTAGCCAGGTTATTGCTACCTGCAGCCTGCAGGGCTATTGAGTTTTTCATTTGCAGACTCCGCAAAATTTGATAATCTTGAATCGTAACCTGATGATGGCTGATGTTTGGTTCATGAAAAATGATAGTCTGGGCAGAAAAAATAACATTTAAGAATTACTTAATGTCTCTTTATAATGTACACAAAGGAGTTCCATGAACTAGTTTAAAAATAGAACACTTATCATTTTGCTCAATGTAAGGACCTTCCTTACTATGTCCATTTTGTACCTATAGAAAACATTTTAGAAATCCATTATTCAGTTGAAGTGTGAGCAAGGTAACATGAAGGGATTCAGGGAACCAGGTTATCCAGGAACCTACACTCTGGAGAGGTCAGGACATTGCAGGTTACAGGGTCATTTGAATTGTGATGTCAGCACACTTCTGGCAAGACAGGTTTTGAATAAGTGAATAGTGAGAGATGGCCATGTGTTAAAAAAAAAAAAATCCAACTGTATATTCATTACTAATAGAAGCAATATTTTGCCATATTGTACTGTATATGTACCTTTCAAAGCTGAATAATATTTTTTTTTTTTTTACTTCTGGTGGCTCACAATACCAAAGTTCTATTGTTTACTAGGTGTATGTAGTAAAATGATCTAGTCCTCTGTGTAACATTTTTAAATATTTTATAATTTAATACTGTAATAAAAAATTGTCTGAGTTTTGTGTTTTCACACACACAATAACAATATACAGTAACACAATTCTCTAAAGCAATCATAAATTATCATTAGGGAAAGTGCTAAACTAAGATACAATATAGTCAACATTGATTATGAATGCCATGAGGATGAATCAAAGATCTGAATTTTGAGAATAAGTCTATGACAAACACTGAGGGAGGCATAGTAATAATCTGGATACCAACAGCAAGATTAGCATACAACTATTTCTTTATTTATTTATTTATTTATTTTGTCTTTGCAAACAGTACATCGAGATTTTGTATTTACAATAGTGGGTTGCAATGCAGAGAGAGCCTCTATTATACCTAGGCATTATGGGCCAACTTAACATTATTGGCTTACAGTCTACTTAATACTAAGGAGTATATCATAGTTGTACAGTAGGATAGTAATTATTTCATAGTTATAAGAACATAAGAACATAAGAACGAAGGAACACTGCAGAAGGCCTACTGGCCCATGCGAGGCAGGTCCAAGTCCCTACCGGCTTAAGCCAATGCACCCAACCTAGTCAGGTCAGGTCACATTGACTTAAGGGAGGAACACGGCAACCGACCTGTTAGCACAAGCTATCAGGTCCAACTCACACCCACCCACATCTACTCATGTATTTATCCAACCTATTTTTAAAGCTACACAACGTTCTGGCCTCTATAACGGTACTTGGGAGTTTGTTCCACTCATCCACAACTCTATTACCAAACCAGTACTTTCCTATATCCCTCCTGAATCTGAATTTTTCCAACTTAAAACCATTGCTGCGAGTCCTGTCTAGGCTAGATATTTTCAGCACACTATTTACATCCCCTTTATTTATTCCTGTCTTCCACTTATAAACCTCAATCATATCCCCCCTAATTCTACGTCTTTCTAGAGAGTGCAGTTTCAGGGCCCTTAGTCTATCCTCATAGGGAAGGTTTCTGATACATGGGATCATCTTTGTCATCCTCCTTTGTACATTTTCCAGAGAATTTATATCCATTCTGTAATACGGTGACCAAAACTGTGCAGCATAATCTAAATGAGGCCTAACCAAGGATGTATAGAGTTGAAGAACAACCTGAGGACTCCTATTATTTATGCTTCTTGATATGAAGCCAAGGATTCTATTAGCTTTATTGCGAACACTTATGCACTGTTGTCTTGGTTTCAGATTACTGCTAACCAGAACTCCTAAATCTTTTTCGCAATCCGTAATATTAAGATCTACATTATTTAGTTTATATGTGGCATGGTTATTGTCCTGTCCAACATTTAGAACTTTGCATTTGTCTATATTAAACTGCATCTGCCACTTCTCCGACCACTGCATCAGTCTATTCAAATCTTCCTGGAGTGCTCGAATGTCCTCGAAAAGAATGAATTCGACGGCCTATTTTGGGTGTCATCGGCAAACTTGCTGATGTCGCTCTTTTTGCCCTCATCTATGTCGTTTATGTAGATTGTGAACAGCAGGGGCCCAACACTGACCCCTGTGGAAACACCGCTCGTGACGCTTCCCCACTCTGATTTCTCCCCATTTATGCAAACTCTCTGCTGCCTATTTGTCAACCATGCCTCTATCCAGGAAAAAATTTCCCTCCTATTCCATGTGCTTTAATTTTCCTCAATAGTCTCTGATGTGGGACCCTGTCAAAAGCCTTACTGAAGTCCATATACCCCAATAACATATTATTACCATGATCTACCTCCTCAAATACCTTAGTGAAAAAAGTTTAATAAATTCGAAGGCAGGAACGCCCCTTTTGAAAACCCCATGCTAACGGTTTAAAAATTTATGCTTTTAAAAGGGGCTACAAACTCCTCGGAAAAAATTTTTGTTTCCCATAATTTCCCACGGGGAGGTTAGGCTAGGGTCTATTTTCGAGCAAGGACCTGTCACCTGTTTAAAATAGGTACCCCTTTTGCCATTTCCACTTATCGGGGCCCCATCCCAGTTTGTAGTGATATTTGAAAAGATAGCCAAAGGGTTGCTAACCCCTCTTAAAAATCCTTTAAACCCTTGCATACAGTCATCGGGGGCCGGGGATTTGTTAGGTTTTTTTTTATCAAATTGCCAAAGGGAGGGGGGTCACTTGGGGACCCTAATAGTGCACATTTATTACTCCTTTCACAAAATTTATCTTTATGGAAACCCTGGTACCCCCTTTGTAAAAACGAGAGGAAGTAGTTTTAAAAATTCACACTTTTCCTTATCACTGTCAGGCTGACCCGGGAACTTTTTGATTGGGCCTATCTTTCCCTGATCTTACTTCGAAAACCGAAAGAACCCTTTTGGGTTTATTTCGTTTCCCTTTTTGCAATTTTTAACCTCATAATCCTTATTTGCTTTTCTAATTCCCTTTTTTATTTCTCTCTTTAACTGAATATATCGATTTCTTATTGCCCCTCTCCTCTTTTGATTTGCCTATATATGCCTCTCTTTTGACCAATCAGATATTTTAATCTATTGTTCATCCATTAGGATCATTTTTGTTTGATCTGATTTCCCTATTTGGAACAAAATTTTTGAACTGAGCAGCTAGAACTATGCCCTGGAAAGCATCATATCGGCAACCATCACCAACCTACCTGCCCCCTAGTCAGGTCATTCCAGTTCAGCCCACCTAAGTAATTTTTCAGTCCTATGAAATCAGCCAAGCGAAAGTCAGGACGGAGACTTAAATTGCCATTTTTAAAGGGGAATTCCATGATATGTTAAAACTGAGTGATTTGTGATCACTCTCCCCAAGCTCATCATTAACCTCAAGATTATTAATTAGTTTTTCCTACTGGCAAGAACCAAGTCAAGGAGGTTATTTCCCTAGTTGGCTCTGTCACAAACTGTTTTAAAAAACAATCCTGGATCGTATCAAGAAAGTCACCCGACTCTAAATTTCTGTCAAATTGCTCCAGTCAATCTGTCTATAGTTGAAATCTCCCATTAGAAACAACATTTTCGTATGTAGATGCCTAACGAATTTCGTCCCATAGAATTTTTACTGCACTCCCTATCAAGATTTGGGGCCCTGTAAATCACACCCAAAATTAGTTTTCTCGGCCTCGAGAAGCTGAAACCAAACAGATTCAGTGGCTGACGCTTCTAATTTAATATCTTGTCTAACACAAAAATTTTTAAATTGTCTCTGACATAAAATCGCTACTCCACCACCTTTCCTGTTGACCCTGTCAGTGTGGAATAATTTATAGCCTTGTATGTGACATTCAGAGGGCTCTCTCTATCTTTCAGATTGAGCCAGGTCTCTGTTATAGCAATAATATCTATGTTTCCTGCACTTGCAATTAATCTTAGCTCATCTATCTTATTTCTAACACTCCTGCTATTAGTATAGTAAACCTTAAGGGAGCTAGTCCCTTGCTGCCCTCTGCTGTCCCCCCTTTGTTTGCTGACCTGTTCTATTGTCTTTATTTATAACTTCATGCTGAATGCCTTTTATACTTTTACTGTTTCCAACCCTATGTTGCAACCTGCTTGTTTCCCCACACACACCCATACCTCTATCTTCCATCAGTTTAAAATCATAGGCATTTTCACAATGGCCTTCTAAATCGAGTCTGCAAGTGCTACCACCCCTGCCCCAGAGAGATGAACCCCACCCCTTTGCATACATATCATGTTTGCCATAAAAGTTGTTCCAGTTGTCAATGAATGGGATTGCAAGTTCCTTGCAGTATCTGTCTAGCCAGCAATTTACACCAATTGCCCTAGACAACCATTCATTTCCTACTCCCCTTCAAAGGCAAGATGCTACATATGATTGGGATCCCTCCCTTAGACTTAATGAAATCTATAGCTGAACCTGTACTTATCTAGCAGCTCTTCTCTCCTACCCTTCCCAATATCATTTCCACCAGCACTGAACAGATAATGGGCTTTTTTCCCATTACCTGACATGATATTATCCAGTCTGTTGACAATGTCCCCAAACACCAGCTCCAGGGAAGCACACTCTATCTCTCATCTTCTTATTCCTATTACAAAAAGCACGATCAACATATCTTACCTGAGAGTCACCAACCACAAGAATGCGTTACCTTCATTAGCAGGGGCAGTAGTACCCTTACCTTCACTGGCCACGAAAGTACATTCATCCTGGAGAACAGAGAAGCGATTTCCAAACCTTCAGATCTGCACTCTTAACTTTCCTTACTCTGATGCGCCTCCCATTTACTGTGAACAACTCGCCCCCTTGTAACCCAGGTGCTGGTTTGCACCCCACTGCTGGTTTAGCCGTTGCTACCACCCCCACCTACAGCCTCCTCACAGTGAGAGACAGACTGCACCTCACTGCTAGAAGCCTCATTCCCCACATCTCCAACCACCTCACACTCTCTCCCAGGCCCATTGAGGTGGACCTTCAGCCTCCTAATCTCCTCCTGGAGAAGCAAGACCTCCTCCTTCAACTCTCCAACCTCAGCTTTTAAAACACTGTAGAAGCAAGCCATGCTTTGTAACCGTCCACGCTAATCCCCAAGCAGCTCAGGGTCTGTGACCTCACGTGACGACTGACCACTGAACACTGACGACTGACCACTGAACACTGACGACTGACCACAGTAGAATATTAATTATAAATGAATCAAAATTTGTATAATACAAAGATATGCTGTGAAGATACTAACTAAATCCGAGAGATGACTCTGAATCACGTTATTAGGAAAGACAGCCATGTACATTACTATAGTCATGGGAAGAGCGGTAAGCCTGTTGGAATTATACAGTACTTAGGGAAATGGGAGGCAATCAAAGGAAGGGGAGATCAGGCCCAATTTGGGTAAAGCAGCCCTCACCACCATGAAGGAACTTTCCCTGAGAACAGCCATATAAAGTGTCCTATTCCTGAGGATCTGGTCCTGTAGTAGACCCATAATATTGTTTGATGCCACTAAGACAATTTTTTTTTTTTTTTGGGGGGGGGGACCATAAAATATATTACATAAGTATGTGCCTCTACAATTTAACGATCAGAGAAGAGCTTGAACTTTATTAATCTGAAAAAAAATGGCCAAAACTGTCCATGCTCTACATCTTGTTAGTCACCTCATATGTTTAATTAACCCTTAAATGGTCTAAATGTATATATACATTCTCTCGTGTAGCACCCCAAACGTATATATACGTTTCATTTG